TTGTGCATATATCATTATTTACCTCTGTCTCACTTAGCCCATTGAGACCTGTCTAATTGTTCTCCCATCTGCTTTGTTCTTCCATTCCCCTCTCCCTACTTGTATATTGCCCGCTCCCTAGCACCCAAACTATCCTGTGTCTAATCCTTGCCCTGTGCTCCTGGGGGTGATTTTTGTTTCCCTGGAACATTTGACAATCTACTGGCATCTAGTGGGTTGGCAAGGCTAGAGATGTTTCTAAACTACCTGCATTGCCAGCACAGTCTCCCACAATATAAAGAATTATGTGGCATAAATTATCATGACTCATTTTCTAACTCATTTCTAATAAAAATGATGTTGATCCACTAATGCCAATAACTGTAGATGCTGCAGAAAATTAATTGACTTCATACTAAGTAGATTTTTTTCCTTGGAAAGAAATTGATACTTGTCCCAAAATGTTTTAATTTTTCTTTCTTTTTTCTATTCATACTATAACATAAAATACTTGACTTCTGAAATACAGTGAGTAGGTTTTTTTTAGAGGATACTATGGTATATGGAGATGGCAAGATAAAAGTTCTATGCCATAGATCTGTAGAATAGGAAATCAGATATTTTATTTGAAAGTAATTTACCAAATGAATATTTACATGCTTATTGTTGGAAAGTGGGCCTTATAGTTTAAAATTTGAATAGTGTTATCTCGGCCTTTCTGGGAAAATGTAAACCCCAAACCAGAAAATAAATATTTGAAAATGGTTGGTTCCAAAAACAGAAACATTCTGTGTGCCAAAAATACCCCATACCAAACGTGAAGGAAAAAATAGCCCCTTGAATGATGGTCTACTTCACTCTGCATCAAAAGCATGGTTAGTAATTTGCCATCTGGTCTGGAGTCCGTTCCACCAATTCTCCAGTCTGAAAAGCCCAAACAATTTATGAGAGTGATCATAAGATGATAGAACATAGGTTTCTAATGGAAAAGATAAAGAAAGCCAGAAAATAAAATGAGAAGTGGTCAAGAGAGCCAAATCTCATTTATAAATTTAGACACATACATTCACAAGTAATGGAGAAACTTCCAAAGGCTAATCCAAAACAACTGAACACAGGGCTGTTGCTCACTGGACCTGTAATATAAAAGTATCAAAATCTGTTGGTCATTATGAATGTGGAAATCCAGATACCAAAAATTAAGAAAGGAAGAAAAGTATTCCTTGTAGGAAAAACTCAGAGCTTGAAATCAAGAAAAAATAAAATGGAGCAATTTACACCAACCATAGTGCTCATAATGATGGTGGTAGTGGTTGTGTGCTGTGAAGTCGGTTCCGACTCATTGTGGCCCTGTGCAGGGTTTCCAAGGTTGCAAAGCTTTATGGGAACAGAAAGCCTCATCTTTGTGCCATGGACTGGGGAGTTGATGCAAACTGCTGACCTTGCAGTTAGAAGTCCCGTTTGTAATCCACTCTACCAGGTCTCCCTAGTCTCATAATAGGAGTTGCTTTAATTGAATAAAGTACAGTGGAAGATAACTTTTTGAATATCTAAACACCAAGGAATATCATGTTTGATTTTCAAATGATGATGTTGTTATCCAGTGCCTTTGAATCGATTCTAACTCATAATGACTCTGTATAAGGTTTCTGAGGAGTGACTGGTGGGTTTGAGCTTTCAACCTTGAGGTTAGCAATCTAATGCTTATCCTAATTAGAAGATATAATTATGTTAATTTATATACTCTTTAAAAAGTAAAATTCAGATAGACATATCATGCATGGCTTAGGTCAGAAAGACTTCCCCCCCAACCCCCCCCACCCCAGTGGCAAAGTGGGTCAAGTGAAACAACAGGGCTCTGGGATACAGGGATTGAGACATGGTTAGAATGGGGAAAAGGGGGAAATAATGTTAAGATGCTTGGCAGTGTTATGAATCTTGGTTTCCCTAGCATACCATTATAAATAGACACTTGAGGGGGAGAGAAAGGAATAGCCAGAAATATCACCATAGAAACATTGCAAGTCCATCTTCTGCCTATAACTGATTGGAATACCTAAAGTGGGTCTGCAAAATGCCCAGTGAAGGAGGTTTCCTGTGGAGCCTCTGCATTACATAAGACTATAAGTGGAATCCTGAACAGCATCCAGAATCTTCAAAGGAGGGCAATTTCCAGTTAAAAGGACAAGCAGACCAGCCTGTAGTGGCTAGAAGAACAGAAGATACTCTTGAAAGAAAGATCAACAGGAAAAATACAAAACAATAATGGCAGTCTGACTGACTATTACAAGAACAAGCAAGTTGCTCACCCAGGAGACATCAAGGCAAGTGGTCGGGTACCCTCAGAGCAAACCTCCTTCCAAGACTAAGACTCAGTGGGAATACACGCTCTGATTGGTGACCCGAGTTCGTCACCGATAAGGGAAAGTGAGGAAAAAACAGCAATGAAGCTGTGAGCTAAGCCCTACAACGTTCAATAGACTCCTGTGAACCCTGTTGGAGACCTGGTTGGCCAGCAGTGTGGCAAGATTTGGGTTGGCCAGCAGTGTGGCAAGACAGAGTCAGTGACATAGCCACAGAGAACTAGA